CTCCGCAGCTCTTCCTATCCTCTGAGTCCTCTCCCGCCACCTCGCCTCTTGATGCCTCCTCTCCTGCTGCCTCCTTCACCTCCTCGCCTCCTCCTACCTCTTCCAACACCCACCAGCACCTTCGTAGCTGCCAACACCTACCTCCGCAGCTCTCTGCCAACATCCACCTAGGCAAATGCCTAGGCGTTAGGCCCCGACTCGAACTCCTAATTTGCCTAGCGTCTTTTGTAACATTGCTAAATGAGACTAGTTTTTTTTATTTCTACCGAAGGATGTTTAATTTGAAGTAGATCCCCAAAAATATGATATTATAAAATAAGTTCTCGATTTGCTTAAAATCTAGCATGGGTTGGGTTAACTATGTAGTAAGCTTTGTTAGACCCTAATGCCACTAAAAAGAACCCTAGAGGGGAGTGAATAGGGTCTATGCTAATCTGATTTATGCCAAATTAAAAACTTATAAATAAATATATCCAAGCAAGAATGATATGCAATAATTATATGCAAGTATAAGCAATATAAACAAGGGTGAAACAAGATAAACAAATACAAACGATATAATTGATGAATTAGACAAAAGAGAATGGCGATAAAGATAAACAAAAATATAAGTGCACAAGCCAAACTCAAACACACAAGAAATGATCACGGAGTTTGGACCTTCCGTCCTACGTCTCTGCTCTCCACTTCCGGGGAGAATCCATTACACAACCGGGTTTTCGACGCTCACCCGAAAAACGTTTACACCTCCACACTCGGTTTTCTAGCTCACCGAAACTTTACAACTCACACTTGTAACTACACAAATACCATCTCAAGTGTTGGCCTCTTACGTGTCTCCCTCAAGTGCTCGGAATTACTACCTCTCACTAGGCTTTACTACTGATGCCACTCCTTTTGGGACCGATCACATCTCTCATCACTACACTCCTCTTGGTGTATTTGTGTAATACAATGTGAACCTCACAATTTAGCTCTAATACAATTTTGTTCTCTACAATAGATGAGAACACAATATAGGCTCACTCTCTAACTTACACAAACCTACAACCCTAATTATACTATGTATGCAAATACAATAAGCTCAATGGTTGTGTGTGTAAACAAAGAGATAAAACAAATATAAACTCAATTAAAATCTAGTTTATGAAAATTAAGTTCAAACATATAAATTGTTAGAATTGAGTTTAAGAAAAACTTCTCTATATAACAAGAGTAGGAGAGATGAAGTTAAAGCCCAAACAAGAAATGGATGATCTCTTCTTGCTCTTGTGAAACTTTCTTTACAAACCGAAACTTGAAACAAAAACTTAAAACCCTTAAACAAACTTGTAAAAACTTTTTAAAACTTTTCTCTTAGTTAGTGGGAGAGATAAATGCAATGGGGTATTTATAACAACCCAAGACGTCGGCCAAAACCCCATGAAAATGACCAAAAACCCCCACAAACAGATTTGGAAAATAGTCGTTACTGTGCAACGGTCATATTTATAAGTCGACTTAACAGTGGCATAAGTCGACTTGCCAGAGGATATTAACACACAAAAAACAGGATATAAGTCGACTTATGATTGACTTGCTATAAGTCGACTTATGATCGACTTGCTATAAGTCGACTTGTTTTGTTGAATAAGTCGACTTAGCCGAGGCTAAATGCACATTCCAGAGCAGTTCATAAGTCGACTTATCAATCCTGATAAGTCGACTTATGAACATGCACAGAGACTATGCATGTCCAAAAATTGACTTTTAGACCTTGATAAAAATATTAAATAAATTCTAAAAAATATATAACTTTGTTAAATGTATGTAAACATGATAATAAACATGTTACAAAAAAAATTTTAGAATCACACTTTCCATTTGTAAAATATCATCATTTTGTAAAAATGTCCAAAACATGAAAAGTTGATAGACATGAAAATTGATGTTTTGACATAAACCAAGTTTTAAAACCTTGTAAAATAATTTTATAGACTTAATAAAAGATGTATATAGTGATTATTAAGTCCATAAACAAGAATACACTATTTTCACAAAAATACACATGTTTTGCAAACAATCATGATTTCATTGAACTAAATAAACTTGATATTGATGAAATCATATATATATATTCTTAAACATATTTATAAAACCAAAATATGTATGTATATACTAAAACGTGTATGTGTGTATTTGATTGAGCTTGAAGTATTAAACACATAATATAAAACCTAAACTATTTACCCAAGCTTGGTTGGTCTTCAATGAGTTCTTCTTGATAAACTATGCGGATGAAGCTTGAACATGGATCTTGACTTGAATTGCATTGTTTCACTCCGATATTCCGCCAACCTTCATTTGATGTGCTCGTGTAGGCTCAATCCAACCAACCTTCGACACATTGTTTGTCTATATTATATAGGAAACCACAAAACTAGATAAACAATATTAGTCGTAAATTATTTGTTAAAACATCATCAAAACAAAGAGACCAACAAGCTTAACCTTATCTAACGTAACTCTCTCTTAAATGACAGCGCAATAGTAGCAACGATAAGACCAGAGAGAAAAAATTGCGACAACAACAACAGGAAAGCAGTAGCAATGGTCTTGGTAACAACGAGAATGACAATAATAATAGAGAGCAACAACAACAAAGCCGGAGAAATAAGATGTAGATGAAGAAGATGTGAGCATAACAAGAATAACAAGTGACTTTTATGAAATGTTGGAATAATAGAACTCACGTAGAGGGCTATTTTGTTTAACTTGAACAAATTGGGGAACTTATTGTCATCGCGTAGCGGTGAGGCATCGCTAAGACTATTTGGGGCTATTGCGACAAAATAGCGGTAAAAAACGCTAAATCAAATAGCGGTCTAATTTAGATAAATACTAAAAAAAGATTAAAGAAAAATCTAGAAAATCTAAAAGTACATATTTGATGATTTAAAGAGATCCTAAACATAAAATAGAAATGTAATCGTCACATAATATCAAAGACGACTAGAGGTGAAGTCAAAGAGTCGTCGTTTTCGAGAAGATGAGCTGAGCAGTGAGAGGACTGTTCTAGAAGAAGCTCACGGTGAATGAGGTGAAATGAGTGTTGAGTTAGGTGCTAGAGGCTATGAGAGGCGGTGGGAGCACACTGAAAATCGCGAGAGGCGGTGGAATGCTGTAGTTAAAGGTCGGGTAATTTTAAAAAAATAAACCCCAAACCGTTTTTAAATAGCAGTCAAAAAGCAGATTTTGCACGCAATCGCACGCTATTTACCGTTAGGGCACGCTATTGGCTACTTTTTGCCAACGGAAAGCGCATATTCCGCAATATGTCACCGCTATTGGGCGATAGCGTAGCGGGAAGGAACCGCCAACGCTATTAGCGCCGTTATTGCGAGGCTATTTACCGTTATTTATAACAGTGCTTATTGTAGTGTCATATTTGGGGAACCTATTTCAAACTATACATTTTCAAGGAACAGATAATCGAATATCGTAAAACCCCTATAAGATAACAATTGCGGACAAAATTTAGAGGTATACATAAATAATAATAGATTTTTTATGTAACAGATACTGTTTATGTGATTAATAATGTGATAATATTGAGTAGCTTTAGACTAATATCTCTATATCTTGATAGTTGATACCATATTATATACCTTATATTTGACTTATTTATCTCCATTTCCTATTAACTCAAAGTAAATAGGCATATTCGTTAATTTAAGCATTGTTAAATCATTTTGGGTCTATTTACACATAATAACAGTGGTAAGTACATTTCATATAGTTGTCCAAGAGTTGAGGTTAAAATTTCTAATCTTACTTAATGCCATCTAGCTTGCCTGTGGGCTTAAAAGAGGAAATATGAAAGACGAGAAAATTAAAAGGAATAGAAGAGGAAGAGGTGTATTTCCTTAGTGACATACTTATGTTTCATAATATGCTGCTTAGCTTTGGTTTTCTAGAGTTATATGATTATCCTCTCCACTTATTTGTCGAAAATTTTCTCCAGGAAGATACTCAAGGAGATTTCAGGTTCACTTAGTCTTGTTCTTGAAAGACCATTTTCTCCTTACCCAATCCAGCATCTACATCTAAATGACAGCTATCATACTTTATTTAATAAAGGCCGAGTTCCTTTCGCTACATGGAACAAAACAGTTTTGGCATCAAACTTGCAGTCATCTTCAGAGGGAAATGGGAACTCTGGTTTTGCCATTTTTTCACCAAAATTTCTGGCACCAGAAGGACGACGCCTTTTTAGTGAAAAGAGTGTTATACCCAATTTCTCATTACAAAATAACAGTTCTTTTACTTCTATAAGTATAAATGAAATTGTCAGTATTTTTTCTGAGGAAGAGACTGAAGATGTTGAATGGGCATTTGGAAGCTTTCCTTTGGAGGAATATATCAAAGCACTTGATCGAGCTAAAGGGGAATTGTACTACAATCACTCGCTTGGAATGCAATACAGCAAGGTGAATATGTCTTTGCTATTTGCAAAGCTACCAGATGGCTAACACCTAGAATATATCTTTTCCTCAATCATATAGTAATTTTTCTTCATAATTTTGTAAGCAAAATTTATTTGATATGTTAAATTTGCTTCTCTCCCCTTTTTCCTTTATATTGCTTCACTAGAATGATCAGTTGATATATGAGTGTATATGCGGATTGCTAAAAGTTGACAAGAGAACATACACCTCGTGTCAATTATTTCTTCTAGGTTATGCAACTACTTTTAGGTTTTAGGATTTCTTTAAAATGTTTAGTTTATCATTTCTTATTGGATTTCATGCTTTAGTGCAGACCATAATTATTTTATTTCAAGCTGGTATGAAAGTTAAACAATTTGCTATACATTGACAAGCACATCTATTGGAAAATGTCTCCCACGCTTGGTAGGCCATACCTAGGTTGGCAGCCAAGTCTTTTCTAACATATTATAGTTACTCATTACTAGAAAACTCGTAACCTATGGCAAAGAGCCATGTGTGCAAGCTATGCACCCATAGTTAGCCCTTAAGTTGTTGACAATCTGTGTGTGCAAGCTTCATCGGTGGAAGATGGCACCCAAGGTGCAATCTGTGCGTGCGCTAATTTTTAATTTATTAGTTATTTTATTTCTCTTGATGTTGTTGTGGATGAAAGTGTTGCATGTGACAAGATGGAGTTAATTCATTATATGCTTCTTCCATATCTACTTCTTTATTACTAAAGGAGAACAAAAAAAAAAAAAAAACTAAAATAAATAGTAACCTAAGTTTCTAAAAAATGAAAAAAATAAAATGAATAACCAACCCACAAAATAAAAAAACTCCCACGTTCTCCTAAAAAAAACTCCCACGTCTTCTCTCGCCTTCCCCTAAAGCCAGCCTCTCCTCTCCCCTTTCTTCTTCCAAATTCTTCCCAAGAAAAAAAAATCTAGCTTTTCAATGCCCCTATCTTCTCAATTCTCACGGAGATCCAAAGTTTTCTGCCCTAAATCGTCAAAGATTCGACGATCTATGACGGAGGAGCCTATCTCAAGCAGAGGGTTATCTACCCTAAATCGTCAAAGATTCGATGATCTATGGCGGAAACCTTCTTTTTCTATTTCCTCACTATCAAATCTCCTTTGTCCTCAACCGAGTCTAGCGCCGCCGCCTCCTCTTCAATCGGTAACATTCTCTCTCTCTCCCTCTCTAAATGTTTTGCCATGTTTGGTTTTAGATTAGAAATCCCTGTAATTTTGTTCTATAAATAATTTGTTATTAAACGTTCTCTTTCTCCGTTCTCTTTGCACTATCCTCACAAACTACCGACCCCTTCCTGTTCCTCTTCCCCAACCTTCTTCTCCTCTACACCTTATTCTTCTTGAAACTTTCATGATACCTTATCCCCTACGTTGCACCCAGGCCTTTCTTTGCACATTCATTACCTCGAAGATAAGAGACCTTTGCAGAGGCTGATATTATTTATTTACTCTTTTCACCGAAAAAGTTCTTCTAATTGCATCATTTTTTATTTTAGTAATTCTTAATTTTTATTTTTTTCCATGATTGTGAATGTATTCTGATTTGTGTTTTGGGGGCACTTCTATTAATTTTGAACAAAAACAAGTACTGATTTTTCTTTGGTTTTCTGCTGTTTAGTTGAGATTTAAGCAACTAATTTTTGTCTTTTAAGTTTTAGTAGAAGTTTCTATTGATTTTTCATTATTCTCTCTAATTGGGTATATTTGTTTGGATGTTAATTAGATTGTCAAGGGCCAAAATCGTTTTTCATTATTCTCTCTAATTGGGTATATTTGTTTGGATGTTAATTAGATTGTCAAGGGCCAAAATCGAAGTCGCCTGAGACAAATCCAACACAAATGAAGGTTCCCAAATCAATAGAGTAATTTTAAGTTTTTTTTGTATATTTTGTGCTAATATTTGTTGGGTTGATAGAGTTTTAACTATTTATCTTTTTATTTTAAATATTTATCTATTTGATAACAATGTATAGAAATATGCATGCTTGCATCTTTTCTCACACTAAATATAAGCTTAATTACAATTGTTACAGAGACTCAATTTCAAATTTTAGTTCTTGAAGATGTAGTTATTCATAAAAAGTTCATGGAGACATTGCCCAAAACCTTATCTTATTAAGGTATTTTACAATTGAGAATTAACAATTTCTTTTTTTTTTGCCCTTTAATTTTGCTTCTAATGGATATTTGTGATGATGGTTAAGTTAATAGTGGATCCTTTTGCTTCTAATGGATATTTGTGATGATGGTTAAGTTAATAGTGGATCCTGAAGCAAAGCTTTGGCATGAAATGTGAGATATTTTGAATTTTGATGATGGTTAAGTTAATAGTGGATCCTGAAGCAAAGCTTTGGCATGAAATGTGAGATATTTTGAATTTTCAAAATTTTTAATTTTATTTCAAGTGAATTTTAAAGCTTTGGGATTTCTTATTTTATTAAGGAAACCTTCAATTTGCGTGTTGGCATACCTTAGATTGGAACAAGGTTGGTATTTATCTACTTTTTAATATAGTAGTATTTGAAATATAAATTAATTCATGTGTTATGTGCTTTTACATAGATGATGATAGCATTTGTATTAGCTAAAGAATTTAGTTATTTTATTTTCACATTTTTTACTAGCTATATAGATGATGATAGCATTTGTATTAGCTAAAGAATTTAGTTATTTTATTTTCACATTTTTTACTAGCTATTATTTGTTTGTATGTAAAATTGCAAGTTAAAGAATTTAGTTATTTTATTTTCACATTTTTTACTAGCTATTATTTGTTTGTATGTAAAATTGCAAGTTCAAGAAAGTTCAAATTGTGAAAATTCATACACGAGACTAAAGATGGTTGGTATTTATCTATTTTTTATTTAATAGTATCTTAAATACATTAATGAATTCATGAATTATGTGTTCTTACATAAATGATCAACATTTGTAATGATTACATAACCACGATAATATATGTCAAAGCACACTCTCAATTCTATTTTTATATCTATTAATCCATCCCAAAGAGGTAACCATCCTTTTAACTCTTTCCATCCTTTTAACTCTTTCCATGATGTCTTGAAGATTAGGATCATGTTCCTCACATCTTTGGAACTGCTATTTAGTCTGCAAAACTTAAAGAGAATTGTCCTCTGTAGAAACTTTTCTTTATAGAAACTATACATTTACATGTATGGAAGGAGATTTGCATATGTAACTCTTAGGGTTATGAGAGTAAATAAAATAAGTCAGTGGCTTATGTTGTAAATAGGCTATAGCTTAAATGAACCAAAAAATTGGGGTTCCTATTCTTTCTCAGAACACATCCTTTCTGGGAGCATGAGTTCACAAGATAGGAAGGACAAAGGGAGAAGAATCACACCAGAAGAACGTGATCTTCATCTCTGGCAATGGTTCTCTTCTTTAGGGAATTATTTTATTATCTCTCAATATCTTTTCCGTTTGGATCTATGAAAACCTAGAAAATTTGTGCTTAAATCTTTAGGGTTCCTTTCTAATGTTATTCCTATTGCTTTGGATTAGTTTTGATGAGATTAATTAGGTTTACCCTAACACAAATGTTGAAAACAAGAAAATTTTATAGGTTTTTGGTAAAAATGCACCTATACTTTGCCACTAGGCTAGCCACAAGTCAAACATTTAGTATTTATATCTATCTCGCCGAAAAAGTTACCTCCAATGGAAAAAAGGAAATAAACCAAATTTGAAAAAATGGCTCTATTCCGTTCTCTAATAAACTAAATTGAATTGAGATTATTTTAATATTATTTTAAAAGATTATCTTGAACTACAATGTACTCTAAACTGAGTTGATATCATGTTAATATTTGATATTAAACTACTACATTCTTAAAACAGAATGTAAATTATGTTAGCATTATTTCAAAAAAGATTTTACATGAGATTTAAGTCAGTTATAGAATTCAATATCTTTTAAGATTATAGTTTCTAAATAACTCCTCTTAATCCATATAGATTAGAGAAATTTTAAGAAAATAATCAAAGAGCATATGTTCATTAAACCTATTATCAAGACTGCACATTTTTCCAAATGAAAATTTTAACATAAATTTGTTACTTTTTTTCGTTTTCTCTTTTTCTTTTTCTTTTTCTTTTTTTCCTTTGGTGATTTTGTTTAGGACAGTTAGTTAGAATACTATAACTACCATAATTTGAAAATCATTATAAATAACATAATTTGAAAATCTGTTTAAAAACCCCACGGTAAAAAAATTACCACTAAATTATGCTTAAAAACAAAAATCAAAAGCTAAAGAGAGAACTGATATTTGTTAAATTTCTGAACTGATATATTTAAGTTTGAAAAATTAAAACTGAATAATCTAAAGTTATATGTTTCAGTTTGAAGAGTCAAAACTAAATTAAACTTTACAAGCTGCTTAGGCTAGGTTTTCTGTTAAAACAAGATTTTCCTCTCTAATTTTATTATTAATTATGCATCTACTTTTCTTAGAATTGTACCTCCATTTTGTGAACTTTGGAACAACATGAGGTAGCTATTTAATTTGAGATGTCGTGATTGATATTGTCTGTCGTCATAGTATATCATTATGGCAAGTAATTTGCGAGCCTTTATAGTCTATGTATTTATGAGACTTTAAACGCTATCATGGATCTACCATTATGTATACAAATAAATGCAGTTGAGTCATATGGTGTTGGACAATTGGTACTAAATGAACTATTGAATCAGACTTGATCGAATATCTGAACGGATAAAAAAAAGCAAATAGCACCCTTGTACTTCATATCTAAAGCAAAATACTTTATTTTAGTAACATGTTCACTGTTTGCAGAAAATCTTTTAGAAACTGTGCTTTGCACGGGTCTAAATACTAGTAACTGGGAAGTCTAAGATTGCATTCATGAAATGAGCCATTGGTGCAGTCAAAATATTTGCTAAAAATACAACCTCATATCTAGCATATGAACAATTTTTATTCGCATGTGCATATGCTCGTACTAATGGTCATAGCTGGTGGTGGATATATTTGTATTTCTAATAATAAATGCATTTGATATCTTTAATACCTTTCTTATGTATTGGATATAATTAAATTTAATATGAATAATACAATCTCTTCATTACATTATTATCAATTATAATATCAACAAACAAAAAGTTCTCCAATAAAATGTTACATGAATTTACATTTATAATATGAAATGCAATTCCTCAACATGTAGGACATGTGAGTTAATCTCCTCCAGAGATATATTAACCGCGTACATTCGTACATAATAAAACTACAAGAACCCCAGGTTATGCAATAAAAGGATACACAAAATTTATATTTACAACTTCATAAAAACCAGAAATTTTCCTTTTTAATGTGTTGTGTGTACTTGTTAGTTTGGTCAAACACGATATATGAGAACCACCTGAATGCATCTTCTGCAGGGAAGGAATAGAATAAACTCTGTGTAATTGGAATAAGTGAAGACAAGTGAACTCTTGCAATCTAGTTTAGAAGAAAGGATAGATTTTCAGCTACCAAACATGTACATAGTAAACTTCAAATGAAAAAGAAAAACTTACTACCAAATTCATACAAACTTTATAGGCATATGGATGCAAGTGAGAATTTTAAATATAGAGAAATCTCATAAATTTTCTATAATCTTTTAAGATATTGTTAAGCATTGGAACATTATTATATCATCATTTGCACAAATTTTCACTCAAAATTAGTCGACAAGGGAATTCAAGAGATCGAAATGGTTAGCATTTAATTCAATATTATAAGAAATAAAGAATTAAGAGAAATGACAAACTTATTATTGCTGTTTCACGAAGAACTAAGTTTCAATTTTAAATGTCATTGAATAGCAAACTACTACCGAACCTCAAAGTTAATAGTCTACGTTAAATACTTTATGCTGCATCCATTATATATTATTCTTATCAAATATTTCATATTTTGTAGTGGCATTTCTGTGAAACTCAATGACTACTATTCTGTACATCCTTATTGATTAAATTTTGTTGGCGAGTCTAACACTTTTTTTCCCCTTCAGATATTGTCACCTTAGCCAGTATCCATGTTACCTAGGTCACTCAATTAATATACTGATTCTTGAAGGTGTGTTTTAAGGTATTTATGGTGTTCTTTTAATGCAATTAACTCTTTATTGCAGATAACTGAACAGATATATGTTGGATCATGCATACAGACAGAAAGTGATGTGCAAACATTGTCCAACATGGTATATAATGTCATATTGTCATCACCAGTAGTTATTCTATTCGTTCCCAATTCTTCATGATCCATTTTTCTAATCTTTTATATGTTCATTGAGCTATATTTCACATACATATACATCCATACGTCATTCATGAATATAGTTTTCGATGTGCATATGATCAGATATAGTCCACGTTACATGATTGCCAATGGTTATTTATTCCTGATTCTTTATCTATCCTGCTTGAGCTGTAGTTCGCATATATGTTCATCTATAATTCATCATGTACACATTTTCCTTCAAGTCATTTGATATTGCTAGATATTAATTTGGAATATTAATTATTTTATTAATCAGAATTTTCTGAGTTAAAAAACATGACCTCATTTAATGGATATAATATTATCTGTTGCTTGATTTGAAGCATAATTCATAATTTCATATGGTATGGTTTCATTAAACTAATGCATAACTGCAATACTGCTTAGTTGTGTTGTTCTTCAACTTGGAGAGAGGTTCTAAATTATTTTTATTACAGAAAAGTGAAAAGTGTACTTTGTGGACAAAAATTATTTCTTTTGACGTTATGCTTTTCCTATGATTTTTCTATCTATTTCATTTTTGGTATGAGTATGGGGTATGTTATTGGTGACTAAAGCTGATCCTGAAGTTCTGGTTAGCAATTTGCAAATTTAGCTCACTCATCCACAAGCATCTCAAGATAGTGCATATTGATATAGTGCAGATTGATAATGAAATCTATTAGGTTAGTTGGTGGGCATAAGTTTTCCGTATTTTGCTTGGACACGGACTATGATTACATCATTTGCGGTATTTCCGTGAAATGAAGGTTATTGAGAGACCTTTTCAGAGGATTTCATTAGAATCACATACTTTCTCAGACATTTTTAGTGTGTACAAAATCATTTTGTTGCTCCTAATGGTGTTTTTTCACACAGTTCAATAGCATCCTTGCAAGCTATCATATGTGAAATAATGGTTCGGACATGTCTGCCTCAGGGGATCACTGCTGTTCTAAATTTCCAGAGTGAAAGCGAGCATGCCAATTGGGGAATCAACTCAGAGTCCATAAATGATTCTTGTCACCATCATAATATCCTTATGGTTAATTATCCTATTAGGTTGGTGAAAGTTTATTGACCCGCATATTTACTCCATGTGTTTTTGTTTTTTGTGTCATCAAGAGCATGCCGCCAATAGACATCAGAATAACTTAAAAGGCTATCATATGGGCATCATCTTCTATTGAAGTCCAATTAATTAGAAAATCACATATAAGGAGGTATATGGTGATCTTTACAACAAATCAAAATAATTTGAAAGCCAGTAATATAAAATTCCCATTTGTTCACACTATATGGTTATATTAAGCAAAACCATGCTTTATATATTAAAAAAATTCCAACATCCTAACAGAATTCTTTCTTTCTTTCTTTGATGTTGTTGTTGTTTTTTTTTTTTGTATTTGTTACTTCTGTTAAGACTAAAACCCAACTCCAATTCTTTCTAAAACCATGCTTTAAAACCATGCTTTAAAATATGTCTAAAACCCAACTCCAATTCTGTTAAAGACTAAACTATGTCTAAAACCCAACTCGAAACTGCAATTCATTATAAAACACACTCATTTCTATGATCATATTATACATTATACTAACTTCTAAATGGACGAAGTCTTTGCATACATATTTATTTGTTATTCATGTTCCTACCATTTTCAGTTAGCACCACAGAGTTTGCCTTATAGATTGTGTCCAGCATAACTGAGTGCTTCAAAGTAATGTCTTTTTTTCGTAAGGTTATTACTTGGTTCATGAAAGCTCGCAATCTGAAGTAACTTAATTGTTTTTTTGTGTTGTAATCTCTCTTCTTTTTAATATGCAGGGAGGTAGATTCTGTAGACCTAAGGAAGAAGCTTCCTTTCTGTGTAGGGCTTTTATTACGACTTCTAAGGAAGAACTTCCGTATATTTGTAACTTGTACCACTGGATTAGATAGATCTCCTGCATGTGTAATAGCGTACTTGCACTGGATCCAAGATACTGCTCTTCATGCTGCCCATGGTTTTGTTACTGGGTTGCATTCATGTCGATCAGATAGGTATATCTAACTGCCTTCAGCTGTCCAAAAGAAGGTTTTCAAACTTTATTATTTCCATTTGGGAAGTCTTGGATTAAGTCATATTGAATAATAATTTCTATGGAATGACTTTCCAAGCATATAGTATCTTACTCATCTCTCATCAATTTTTTGATTCATATGGAAGAAGCAGCCTGTCTCTCATATGCCCCACTTTCTTGGCATGTAGTTTTTCTCCATAGAAAGCGTTTTTGTATCTCAGCCTCGTTATTTATTTATTTATTTATTTTTGTGGGTGTGCGGGACTGTGATTGTGTTCTCTCTTTTGTTTGTG